TATATTACCTACATCTCAACATAGTATTTTCTCCTTGGAAACTACTATGTTAACTTTCATTAATTCATCACAAATATAATATATACATATAAAGATATTACATGATATTTCTCACATTACAATAATATATTTCTATATATATATATATATATATATATATATATATATATATATATATATATATATATATATATTAACACTCAACACATATTATTTCATGTTCAATACATGTATTATATTATCATAAGTCATGTATATATCACTTCTCACACATTTTAGCAAAGAATAAATTTGTGAGATTTGACCTACGTTTATTCTTTTAGTAAATTTTTTCTACAAATATCTTTTTTTACTAATTCTTGTTTCATTGGATTTCTTATTTTTAAGACTTCGATTTTCATATATGGAACATTATATTTGAAGTTTTGAGTTATTTTTTATTATTTTTAGAAGTTAAAGGCATGGAAATTTTAAGAAATTTCATTTGAGCAAAAATACATCCGATAATCACCTTCTTTTCTGGAAAAAATTTGCTTGAACAAGACTCAATTTCGCTTGAGTGAACATACACCTGAGACAAGCATCTTCCACTAGGAGTTTTTTATTTATTTTACTTTAGCGAGATATTTTCGTTTTAAGTGAAAATGCACCCAAGAGGAGTCATCTCCTCTTCTGAACATTTCGCTTGAGCAATCAGTTACTGCTTTAGTGAAATATGCATATAATAAACGTGTTAAACCACACTCTAGACATCAAAAACTATTTTGTAAACCTCTATTACTCAATTTTCTTTTTAAATATGTCATACTTATTTAATTATAGGAATCATATCCTAACAATTTATCATATCATGATTCTAACTTAAGATACAACAAATCAATTTCCTATAAATCAAACAATGTGAATAAGTTATCTCCACAATCCAGATCTTCTATCATAGATGACTATGGAAATAAAAAAATAGCTAACTTTCCTTATCTTCCAATTTCAGTGCTCTCAAGTTTGAAAGTTTTACATCTTCAATTTCTTAGGGAGTTAGATTCTGCTTACAAAAAATCTCAATTAACAAATTAAACCTACTATAATGTTCCTAAACTAGTCAAAATTTATTTTTACCCGACTAAGGTCACATGCAAGACCCGAAGATTCACATGCAAAACTTTAGCCCCAAATTTGTAAAAATACTCTAAAATTGAAGAAAGAAAAATTTATTTTATTTAAGATTCTAATCCGATAGAAATGTTTATGTTGTTGTTAGGAGCACAATAATGAATTTGGATTTAGAAAAATATAAGAATTTTGTGAAAAAGTTTTAGAAAGAAGTCAAATAATTTAAAGTTTAAGGAGATGGTGATTCAATATAAACGAAATTTGAAAAGTAAATTTTTTTTATTTAAACTATTTTTATTTTAAAGAAAAACTTTAAATTTAACTCCGTTTAACATTTTTTTTTCTTTAAATTGTTGAAGTCTAGCTCCTTACAGTAATATTTTTAAGTTTTTTAATATATTGTTATTTAAAAGTTAGAGATAAAAAATATATATAGTTGTTAATAAAAAGTCATGGATAAAAGTTGTCAAAAATAAATATTATAACATTTTCATTATGACACAGTCTTGTATGACATTAATGAATAAAAAATATAATTATTAATTAAAATTACACTAAAATAAATACATATATATACTAAATTATAATAAAAATATTTAATTACTAATTATTATAATTATTTCTAAAGCTATCATTTGTATGTACGTTATATTATATAGTTCTAGTTTTTTTTAACATTAGAGAAAATATATTAAAATATTTTTTTAAGTAATATTTTAGTTGCTAAACATGAACTTAGTTACTGATTTTCAGCCATGAAGAAATAAATTTTGTTAAGTATTTCAGTAAACTTTACTTTTATTCTATAAATTTGAAGCATATTTTAAAAGAGAATGTGATTTTATGAGTTATTGTTAAAAGAGATTAATTTTAAGAATTACTTTTAGTAAACTATCTTGGTCACTAAATTATGACGTGTCCTATTTTTTAAGATTTTATATATTTCAATATCACAATATTGTTGGCTTTTAAAATTCATACAATTTTTTTGTCATCATATCATTCGTTACATTTATACTTAATCTCTCTTTAATATATATATATATATATATATATATATATATATATATATATATATATATATATCCTTCTCTATATAAATTAATTATTTTACAAATAAAATTATCATATTTTAGTAAATCAAAATAAATTTTCCTATAAATCGTCTAGTATGAAGAGTGATGTGGTATTTTCTTTAAAGTTTTTATATATTTCAATCATAATATTTTTCATTTCTAAAATTCAATTATTTTTTCATTATATTATTTATTACATTTATTCTAATTTCCCTTTATTTTCTATCTCTCTCATTTCGTTGCATAAATTATTACCAGCGCCCGGACTATTATAAAAATATTTATATTTAAATAATAATAATTAAGTATAAACATTTATATTTTTCAAATTTTATATATCATATATTTATCTTATAAATTAAATTCAATTTTAATATTTATATATTTTAATGAAAATATTTATTATACTTTATTCACATTAAATTTAATTAAACTTTCAATTAATTATTGAAATTAGATCATATAAATTTGTTAAATTATATTTGAATAGAATTTATTATAATATATATATATATATATATATATATATATTTGTTATAATATTTTAGATATTAAGATCATTTTGTATATATTATTTAATCTCGTGTGTTTATATTTTATTAATTTTAAATATTATTTTCTTAAAAATATAATTTTAATTATATAATTAAATTTATATTATTTAACTAAAAAAAACTGAAACTTTTACTAATCCCACATAACAATAATTATTTACTTTCATATAAAATTCTTTAATGTCTATATACTTATATAAAGGAAATATACTAATAAAATAAAATAAAACAAAAAAACCTTAAATTTATATCAAACAAAACATTGTATGAAGAAATTTATTCTCATTAATAAAGACTAAAAATAATTATTTAATGTTATATTTTTTATTTATTTTAAATACTAATTTTATATAAAAAGTATTTTTTATTTATATATATACACATATCAACTAAAAGAATTTTTTTAATAAAAAAATAACTTTGAAAAATAGAATAATTTTTTTTCATAAAAGAGTTTGTCAAGCTCATGTATTATATTTTATTTAATGTATATATAACTTATAAGATCAATTTTTTTTATATTTTAATAAAAATATATTCATTTATTATATTTTTATATTTTTCATATTAAAAGAATTAAATTAATTAGGTAAATTTAAAATGATAATTTTATAAAATTATATATTAATTAAGTAAAAAAATATATTTTTTCTTTAATAAAATAATTATTCAAATTCATATATTATATATTTATTTATTTTGCATATTTCCTCTTACATAAAAAGTTTAAATTTAGTAAAAAAAAGATTATTCCAATAGATAAGAATAAATTCTCATATTTCTTTACACATTTTTTTTTAATCATATATATTTAAAAGGAAAGGTATAAGAAAACCCTATATGATAAGTTCACTGTTATGTTTCAATTTTCTTTTTCATCAAGCAGTTTTAAAATGGAGAGAAAATACTTGTGCATATGACTAAGATAAATAAAAACCTATTCATATATATATATATATATATATATATATATATATATATATATATATATATATATATATATATATATATATATATATATATATATATATTAGAAAATTTTAAAATTTGAAACAGACGAATCAAATTTTAAATTTAAGTACATGTTCTACACACTGTCAGTGTAGGTTGTAGAATGTAAGAATTCATATGCTAAACGGAATCCTAAACCCCAAAACTTACTGAAATCATGTTAAGATGGATAAATAAGTTTATTATTATGTCTTTAAGAACCCTAAACCCCAATCATGGAACAACCATTTGAAAGCACTAATAAAAAAATTTGGGAAAAAACAGTAGTCACCCATTTCGTTTTTCATGGTGTGGCCTTGCCTTTTTTATGAGCACAACCAGAGACCACATGTCAATCCTAAGGCAGCTAAAAATGTGGGAAAAGAAAATGAAATATAACAGCAAATAAATCAAGAAAATCTAACGTAAACCCTAAAGGGAAAAGATAGAAATGAAATGACAGAAAATTTAATTTTTTGCTTGGGAAAAAGACACTGAAATAGGGGAAAAGAATAATTTTTTTATATGAAAATGGATTTCTACCTCTATAAATACATACAAAGGTGGAATTTCCATAGGGTTGAAAAAAATGCGAATTTTACGTAGCATTAAAAAATATAGGTATCTAAAGAAGCTATTTTGAAAAAGATGTGTGTAAGAAAGCATGGTGTGAGAAGCTAGGAAATTGCTTTTTGTGGAGAAGGAGAAAAAGTTGGGTTTGAGTTAGGAAGGTGAGAAGGAATGATTTTTGTCATTATCCAATAATAATGTTTTTAATTAATATTTTTTCCATTTGTTAAAGAAAAATTAATTTGATAATTAAGTAGGACAATTGGGATCTCGAATTCTTCTCCACTGAAAAATGCAGTGATTGTTTCGCTAAAGGGACACCTAAACTTTGTTTCGTCATAATAGCTATTTTGATTTTTGCCGATTGAATTGAAATTATTGAAGGGTCGTTAACTTCTAGTTTTATAACATAAATTATCAAGTTTCTTTTTCTCTGTTTCTGACTCAAAAGTTTTATTATGTTCAAATTAATTTATAATCAATTACCAGTTGCAAGTTAAAATTTCCAACGTTAAAGTTATTGTTAATTCCCAGATGTATTTGATGGTAGAACAAGAAGGTTTCTTTACATGACAACAAATGAAAGAAAATATGTTTATATATCTCATCAAGACATGATGGTGTACAAAGAAAGTTTCATCCTGATGTCAATATCTAATTGGCATCCATACACATAAAATCATTTGAGTAAAAAGAACTATTAAACATAGCTCTTAATAGAAGAACTGTAGCCACTCTGAACATCATAGTACCTGGACCACAGCATAACACCACCATACTTTGCAGAATCCCTAATGGCTGGAAGCACTTGAGATATGAGATCAGCAGAAGGAATGAAGCCACTGCCTGCTGCCTGTGAGGAAGCTGGTAACCCCAGGAATATCTTGTTGGCAGGGATACTTGTGATCCATTGCTTCCATGCATTTTCAAGGTTGCTAATCGCTCCAGAAGTATATTGGCAAGGAGGGTTGTTGTAGAATTGGATCCAAACATAGTCAAAAAGACCTGTTGTCAGAGCATTTCCTATCCAAGCATCAGGAAATGGGCACTGAGGTGCTGCAGTTATGTACACTTGCTTGCTCTGCTTGCCCATCATGCCATACCCTTTAAGGAGCCTGGCAAGATCACCCCAGTGTTTGTTTGATCCACCTTCAATGTCAAAGTCAATGCCATCAAGTACAGCAGGGCCAAGAGGGCGAGATGATGATTGTCCCCCCAAGAAGTTGTTCCAAAGGTATGTGGCTACTTCACTTGGATCAATTGAGTGGCTTCCAGTATCTCCTCTTAAAGAGAGCAAAACCTTGATGCCTTTGGCTTGACAAGATTTGATGTCTGAGCTTAAACCTATGCACTCATTTTTTTGAGGATCACAGTGACCTGCAAGATTAATCATGGGAGTTTCGCCCTTGCCAAAGGTTGGCAAAAAGGCTATGATCACATAATCATAGTTCCCTGTGGCACAAGCCTCCATCAGTGTGCCCTCGTTCCCATTCTGGCCCCAGTAGATAACAATTTGTCCAGCATAAGAACCATTTGCTAATGCTAACAGGACTAAGCACAAGAATGTGATTGAGATTTGCATTGGCATTGTGAACAGAGAAATATCTAAGGAAATGTTTTAAGATAGCTAAACATTTAGGCTGCTTCGGTGACAAACACTTACTGTGTGACAAGGGCTTTTATAAATTTCGAGTGTTTGAATCCCTTCAAAGCTTTGGAGCTTCTCACTAGAGCGTGCCTTGGCAGTCATGGATGATCAACAGATATAATAATCATATGTTGGGATTTCATGGAAGTAACGTGCAAATTTACCAATTTGTAACTTTAACATCTTCTATTTGTTCTTGTTCAGTGCCTTCCTAAGTTTCTTCCATCATCCTCTACATCTAAAAATGATAAATTAAAATAGCAGTCAAATGTACGATGCATACTGGAAATTCATATTTTTTTTATAGACATCAGTGGTAAAGTGAACAACATAGTATTCAGGAATTAGTAATTGTTATGTGAGAGCTTGTTGATATTCATGAACTTGTTCGTTTGATGGTTATCAGTTTTTTGAGCATCTGCAATGGCAACAGACCAGCTCAGCTTCATGTTGGCTTGACCATTTACAAGAGTAACACAAAAGTAGCAAGTAGAAACTCATGTTGGAAATTTAATTTCGATACTATTAGCTACTCTTTTTTATTCCCCCTCACGTCTCAATAACTGGAGACAATATAGAAAACAAATAGATATCAAAATGTGAAATAGCTATCCATTAAAATTTCTGTCCATAGAATAATAAAAGCTAAGCATAGGGCCCTATTCAGTTCAACCTTTACATTGGCTATGTAGATGATTTTGCATACAGATGATAAAGTAGCTCTTTAATCTAGCATAGGACTCCTGAATTAATTCTAATTCTTAGTTGATACGATTATGAGGGAAATATGGTGTTCCTGAATATGTACTGCATAGAAGCTTAGCATTCTGTCATCAGATTCTGATTATCTTTGCTCTGTAGAAAACTCAAAAATGAGTGGCTTTAGGACTGAGGAGTTAAGTTTGAGTGCCAGGAATATCTTCTCCCAAACCAAATCCTGATATTTTGCATCTTGACTCCAATAAATGACAAACCAGTGTTCTAATTTTTCCTTTTAATGAAAAATCATAGACCCTTCATATGGATGGTTATTGTTTCCTTTTCCAACAAAATTTAAGAAAGATGATATTTTCATACTCCAAATTCATATCATTCCTTTTAACAACTTTTTTTAATATTATAATAATAATTTTATTTTATTTTTATTTAATCATTCTATAAATTATTAATTTTTTTAATAATTTTATTTTATTTTTATTTAATTATTCTATAAATTATTATATTAATAAAAGTGAGTTATTTAAACGTGATATGTTTTACTATAGTTAAAATATGACCGCTCAAAATTTAAATCCTGTATAAAGATATTTACAAATATATATTGTGAACGTAGCTGTCCTAACATATGACTTTGGCCTTTACCTTAAACTAAAATATTCCCGTTTTGATAGCATTATTTCAATTAAGATCCACCGTACCTTCAACCTTTTATTTTATTTTTTTAATTATATTATTAATACAGAGTATTTATTAATGCGATCACCAATAAATACTTTAATGCCATCACCCTTTTCCATATATATATATATATATATATATATATATATATATATATATATATATATATATATATATATATAAGTGAGCAAAAAAAACTATTATTTTGACATATACACCAAATAAGACAGAAATTTTTTAAAAATGTAAATATTTCATCCTAACAAAATATTTAAAGTTTATTATATTTTAAAAGTAATAATATATTGACCGATAACAAAATATATTAACAGTTGACAATTTAATAATAATAATAATAATAATAATAAATTGATTATAAACTTCTACACTTTAATGTTCGTGTAAATTGAATCATGAGTCCAAGTTGATGTATCTCTTAAGTGTTTGTGGGTCGGGTGGCCACTTCACATACCTCATCTCCCTCACACTAAAATTGAGGATTAATAAATATTTTAAATAATTTATATTATTAGTATTTTGTTTTAAACAATTATGCAAGTTCAATAGGTAAATTAAAAAAATGTGATAATAAAATTAAATCTATAAATAAAGATAAAAAAATTGAAAATTTGAGAGTTTTTATTGGGAGAAATTTTTGTTTAACTCCAAAAGTTATATGTGAAATGAATATTAAAAGGAGTGAAGAGAAAAAATATTGAAAATTTATGTATTCCAAATTACGCTTTCAAATATTGGATTAGTTAGGATTGAAAAATAATATTTTCTTAGTTAAGAATTCTCTCTTGGACTTGTGTCTCTAAGAAAATTTATATGGAAAAAATATTGAAATTTAAATTGGAGACATGGTAAAATAAGACAAAAATTTGTGTTTAAAAATTCATCATGTGAAAACTGGATCAAATAAGCCTACTAAAATTGACAAAATCATATTGAACATTTGACCCGTTCATTAATCTTGAAAATCAATCATAAAAAAATTAGTATAAAATTAATTCAAATGTCAAAAAAAATCAATTCTATAAATAATATATTTTTAGATCTATTAAATATTTTTATGCAGTTTTTTTATTTAAACGAATTTATTTTTATGTATTAAATTTTATGAATAGAAAATAGGTATAATTAGATAAAAAAAAATTAAAAGAATTTGATTTAAATATTTTTTTTAAAATATATTATTTATAATATTGATTCATCAAAATTTTGTAAAACGATCAAAATAATTAAAAAAATAAGGTAAGTTTGGAGTTAACAGTTAGAGTCTCTTCTTTATTTATATATATAGAGAGAGAGATAATTTACAAAATATTTGAATCTATTGGCTAGTTGAATTCAATATCACTTATATGAATGACATGTTGATAGTAATTAAAATAATTTTAAATAATAATAATAATAAATTTTCTTTATTTAATTTTAGAGATAATTACTAAGAACATTTTTAAAGTAAATTTTTAATAAGACTTGTTTAAGAATAAAATTAAATATTTTATTATAGATGTCACAGTTAATTAAATTTTGATTAGAGTTGTTTATATAAATAATTTTCTTTTAATTTTAAACATTTTTTTTCATTTTTACTCAAATGTAAAACTCACAATAAAATGTTTATTTTTATTTTTAAATAACTCTTGGTAGGAGCTCCTTTTAGATAAAGATATTATTATTGGTATTTAACTTAAATAATTTAATTTCATGTTAATTTCAAATATTACCTAAGTTAAGAATTTTGAGTAAAGTGATAGACATTTATAAATGAAATTTTTATTTTTCAAAATTTTGAAGTTACACATATTATTCAAAATCATTTTGTTTTTCTTAATAAGTTGTGATTTTTTTTAATAATCATCTTTTTAATATAATGTTTTTAAAATCTGGTCACCTGACGAAGATATGGCTCTAGGTTTTAAAATTTTAATATGATTCAACCGAATTTAATAAAATAATATTTTTATCATAATAAATTTATTAATAATAATATTTTTTATAAAAAGAAAGAAAATTAATAAATATTACTATCATAGTTATCATAAGTTATAATGAAAATTATAAATATAAAATATATTAGAAAGTGAAAATGAATAATTATTAAAATAAGATAAAAATATAATAAAATAACTAATATTTTGTTAGAATTTAAATGTGTTTAAAATTTTACATTCTAATGAAAAAGTTGAATAAGTTATAAATAAGAAAAACTCATAATTTTTAAGTCTAATCTATTTAATGCTATTTGTGAGAGTATGTGTGGTTGACCTAACCATGAGATAAAAATGCTTTAAAAGTGAAAAATCTAATTAAAAAATAAATCTAAGTCTAATTTAAAAAACAAAAATTGAAACCTTAACTAAAATTTGTCATAGTTTAACCAAAACATTGTTTAAAAGTTAACTTTTATCTTTCTCATCCTTTACTCTTTTTTTCTTTAAAAAAATCATTTTATTACAATTATCTTTTTAAAGAGAAAACGACATTTGTAATAATACGATCGAATTTGATATTTTATTTTATCATAGCATTATGTGTGAGTTATCTGATGAGGTATAAGGATATTAATTGTTTTAAATAATTTTTTATCTCTGACCTGATAAATTGTTTAATTTTTTATAATTATTTCATTAAGTAACTTATAAAAATAAAGAAAATAAAATAATAGAAGAGAAAAAAATAAGAAAAAATTTATTAAAAAAATCAAATCTAAATTATTTAATTTATTGTTTATTAGAATATATTTAAAATTAAGTAATTATTATATAATTTTAAATATTTAATTTTTTTTAATTTAATATTGATTTTTAAAAATATATTTTAAATCTATCGGTAAATCCATCGATAAATGAATAAATAATTACCGACAGATATATCTGTCGATAACTAATTGTTTATTTACCAAACTTATTAATTTACCGACAAATTTGTTCATTTATTGATGGATTTACCGACAGATATATTCGTCAATAATTATTTATTTATTTATCGATCGATTTACCGACGAATATATTCGTCGATAATTAATTATTTATTTACCAATAGATTTATCAAATTTCACAACATGTCGGTAATTTTCTGACGGATATCTATCTGTAATATAAGATTTTTTTGTAATTGGAAAAGTAAAATTCAAATGTAGGTGATCTTTGATAGTAGATGACATCTTATTTTGATATTTGTGGGTTTTTAATTCTACTATGAAATAAAGTTTTCGTTTAAACTTTGGTATAATAATATATTTTATTATGAAATCATGATTAACTTTAAAAATTAGAAGATAAAATTTTTAAAAAATTATTTATTTATAAATTTTAAGAATTCTTGTATAATAACCCAATTTTATATAAAAGTCCTGACACTTTATTTAGATCCACAATAAAATTACTATTCATTTACTAATTGCCATTTGTTTGTAAAGAATAATAATAAATGTTTTTATTCATAAATTATTATTTATTTTTTAAAAGATTGATATTAAAAATAATAAAAAATAATTAATAAACAATAATCCATTGTATTAAAATTGGATATACATTTATAATATATATGCCATTATATCAAATGAGATTTTTTTTAAAGAAAAAATAAATAAATTGTGAGAGAAAAATTTATGTATAAAGATTTTAAATAGTCTCATCTTTTATTGTCTATTACAATTTAAATATAACAACTAAATTAATTTATATAAAATATAATTTGAATTTATCAGATATGATAGTGTCTATTTTAATATAAAATTCATTCAAATTAAATTGTAAAATAAATATAGATTTTAATTTAATTTAAATTAATTTAATTTAATATAATTAAAAATAATTTTAAATAAAATTTATTTTATTGAATATGAATATATTTTTAAAAAATTAAATCCATGTTTTCTAACCATAAAAAAAAAAGCAGCAAATTTTTGCTAGTATATTTTTAAAATTGGGGAACATAGTCATTCACCTTTTCTATGCCTTGTGTTTTCGTGTTTTATGCTTTAATTCTTTTCGTTTCTATGCATTATTACCTATATATATATATATTATATATATATATATATATATATATATATATATATATATATATATATATATATATATATATGTAGCTTCAATGAATCATAAATTATAGTGAACAAGATTTGTAAGGTTAATATACTCAGAATTAGTGAGCCTGTATTATTTTTTTTTTAAATATAGCTTTATTTTAAATTAATCTAATTAGGTTGAAAAAATAGATAAAATTTGACCAAAAATTAATTTCTGCCAGATATCAAACTTTAATAATGTTTAATAGGTTTAACTTTGAGGTCAACATAGTACTTGGCCCAAGTCTTAAGTTAATTTTAACGGAATAACATTACTGATGTATAATTTTAACCCATTATTATTGTTATTATTATTATTATTAAACTTTGTGGGAACAAAGTTCCATGTGGTTCTGTTATACTGTGGTTGTGGGGGAAGTTAGGCGAACAAGTTGATGCCACTGCTCAATTCGATCTCATGTCGGTTATAAACACACTTCGTACAGTTTTCGTGTGTGCTTATTTCAAAACTTTTGACACACCTTTTACATCACTTTATCATTCTTTTTCCTATTCGAATAGACAATTAACTCCTTTCAGATTTCCATTCTTTAAATTTATTTTCATTTCCTTATTCCTAAAGTACTTTTGGAGGATTTATATAAATTTAGTTTTGTTGTTTTGAACTTTGATTAATCTTATACTCTGGCTCGCCTTTATGCAGGGTATGACAATTATGAAATGATTCTCTTCATGTGTGAACATTCTGAATCACATTTTGACACATAGACAGTGGTATTCATTTCTTGTTTGGTGTGACAGAAAGTTGCTTGAAATGAAAAGGGTTATCTCATTTTCTTTAAATCTCTATTTTTTCACGGGGGTTGATCTATGATTTATCCTATGTCTGTCCAATGAAAATGGAAGACAATAACTAGATGAGAAAGCATGTTGAAGTTACTACTTAAAGTCAATACAAGTTCTCGCTTATGTTGTTCCATTTGTCCCCTACTTGACCTTGATAGAATAGACGAACTTTCCCCTTGTGGTCATCATTGTTTTGTCATTATAAGCTCTACCAATAATGTGTTTGTTGTATATAACTTTTTTATTCATCATAACTTTCCAAATCGTTGCTTGCAAATGGAAACCTCACTCCCTCTAGCCACTGATAGCTTCTCGTATGGTTGGTTATCAAACTGCAAACCCCTTGCAAATGACCATCAGGAGCCTCTAAGAGAATCTACCTACAACTCCCCATTAATGGAAGAATGGCAAAACTTCAATTTTGATATTTCCTTCACTCGCTCCCCTGCTGTTCTTGCTCATGCTGATGAAATTTTCTCTAATGGCCTTATCAAACCACTGTTTGTTGGCCCTTCTAAGTTAGACTCCGCACAGCAATCCAAGCCTATTTCTTCCTTTTCTTCTAGAACTGTTTCTCCAAAAACCCTGCAAATTCATCATGGTTTTCTCACAAGGTGGAAAACATCTACACGTAGAACCTTGAGAAACCTTTCTAGGTATGTCAACCAACTATGCCAGAGAGTTGGAAGCTCAAGGAAAAGTACTAAAGTTGATGATTTTGATAAGGAAGAGTGGCTTGTTAATAGCTGGAGCAGTTCACACCAAGCATCTCCAAAATCAAGCACTATCAACCCAATTGGTGCTTTGCATGATCATGAGAACTCAATCTATGAAGCAGTCCTCCACTGCAAAAGATCAATAGGTCTGGTCAAGCTTTTCCCTATTTTTCTTCTTCTTTTCTTTTTTAAAATCAATTTGAGTGTATGATTGCTAACCTTGCAAATTAACTTCTATGCTATTTTTCAGAAAGATGATCCTCAAATAAAGAGAAGATAATTGTAGAGCTTCCTGAGAAGGGTGATAGCTGATTACGCAAGTGAACTGGTTCTTTGCATCATTTCTATCTTGTTCACCCTTGAATGTTATTTTTATTTCTTTGCTTAAACAAGAAGTAGCTTTGACAGATACCAGCTGCGGGGTTTGTAATACCAAATTTCAGAGTATGTTGGATCGGAGCATACTGCTTCATGGTTTTGTACAAATATGACTTATAGCACAAACTGAATTATACTGTAAGAGAGATATCAATGTTTTTCTTCTTCCCTCTTTGCTATTGCTCTCTATAAATGTCAATAAATTTAGTTGAGAGATTTTACTGAAAAGTGTTTCTGGGAACAAAGTTACTTCGTAGTAAGTATAGCACATGTGCATACTCAGAAAACAGATGTCTAAATTGTAAACGTTGACATGTAAGATAAACATACATTTTTATTTCAATAATAGCTAATCACTAAGCCTGGTACAAGGCGTTTACCTTGGATGGTTTTTGTTAAAATATCAGTTAATTAGTCTCCTCAATAAACCATAAGTAATTATATAAATTTTTTTCTTCTAATTTTTTCTTAATAAAAAGTTATCCAATTTAATATGTTTTATTTGACCGTATTGTATTATGGATAATATTATAAGTTACGATATAATTTAATAAATGGTGTGAATAAGTATCATTATTTTGTAAAATTTCAAGTATCAAATATTTAAAGATTCTGAATACTTGAATTTGGTTTTTGTTTCTCCATGTAATAAGATTATTACTAACAAAAATAAAATAGTTTCATATTAATAGTCTATCTTCTCATGATTCAGTCCAATCAGTATTATTATATACATTTATTTCTTAATAATTTATATTTTTTTAATAATAATTCTTTTTTAGATGTTGACTTTAAGTATTTTAAAATATGTATATCTACATTTATATGTTGTTCTTCAATATTATGCATAAAGAGATGAATAATACTTAATGCGTAGGTAAAATACGGTGTTATGTGTACTAAGTGTATTAATTTTGCTAGAAATATTTGGTATCTTTATTTATTAACCCGGACTTGATTTAATGTAGCAGGTGTAGATAACTTCAAACATTCATTCATTGATATATTTGTTGGCTGATATACTTTTTGAAATAAGTTTAGGGCATATTTTCTTTGGGAAAATTTTTCTTTAATCTCTAAAAAATATTTCAAGACCAAGATCTTTAATTGCAAAATCTTTTAATAAAATCTTTGTAATGTTTTACTTTTCTTTGAATTATTTCTTATAATAATCATATCATTTACATAAAGAGTACATTTATAGTATGTTTTTGTTTTCTCAAAAATAAAGTATAATGTAAATTACTTTGATGATATTCAAATAATGTCATGTTTATAGAGATTGTTTTAAATCATACATAGATTTTTCTCATTTGCATACTTTTTTTTTTGTTCAAATGTGATACAATCTAGTGGGAGATTCATTTATACATCTTTAATTAATTCGTCGTGTAAAAATGCATTTTATTTTCTTTTATGGTCAATCCAGATTTGTTGTCAAAGATAATAATGATATAATAATGCTCATTTTTTATATAAGAACAAATGTCTTCGTATAATCAACTTCATGTGTCCATTAGGATGACAAACTATATTAGAGATGATAAAACAGGATAGAGTCTGGTCCATCGAATCCCCTAAAAATGGTTGGGTGGGTTAGTGGTTTTAACCTACCAACCTATTTTGGCTCGCTCTACCTAGCCTACCAACTTGATAGCCCAAAGGTGAGGTGGATTGACTTGCTTTAAAAAATATTTATATATTAAAATAAAAATAAAGAGATTATAATTAAAAATAGTATATTTTTTGTGTTATATTATTGAAATATACAAAATATAATAATATTATAATTTAAATTATAAAAATTAATTAAATTTAAATTATTAATTATAATTAGTTATTTTGATACATAATATAATATTTCTTTTCAAATTATCTAATTAATTAATAAATAAATAAAAAGTATTTATATAATTAAAGATATATTTTTTAAAATAATATAAAAAAAGTATTGATAGATTGTAGTCATTAGCTCGATTATGGCGAGTCGATTCATCCCACTCTTTTTGGCGGACTAGAAACAGGCGAATTGACCTATTTTATCATCTCTAATCTACATTGTGTTTAATAATATAAATCCACCAGACATTCTATTAGTTTCTTTTCCGATAAACAATCAATAAAGAGTCAAAATATTATTCTTTTGAAGTGAGTTCATTTCCTTATTCATATTGGTCTTCCATCCCGAATTAGCTAAAGTTTTTTACAAATTGTTATAACAAATAACTTATTCATAAAGATCTTATTGTTTCTTGTAGTTTATGATTAGAGAGTTTTTGTTTATAAATAGGTTTATAAATTCTTTTAGATAATTTGACAATTGTTTTTTCATCAATAAATTATTCGTAATATTTTTATTTAAAAATTTATGTACAATTTCAATGTTATCTGTTTCAAGAGATTAACGTGAAACTTCAATATTATCTTAAACAATGAATTTATATAAAACTTTATTATCAATTTTACAATACTTTTGTAAAGATCCAAATTAGATATTCTTATTCATCTCTTGAAATAAGAGATTATATGATATTAGAGTTTATGTAACGATACATCACTTAAATCCAAATTATATACTTAAATATGGATTTAATACTCTCAAGTTTATATTTCTAGGATTTTTGTTGATTCTTTTATAAAAATCAAACTCATATATAATATGATTAATAAGAAAATTATACCACAAATATTTTTTTAATGCACATCATACCAAGAGTATTACATATATAGTAGGATTGAGTGGTTCTGAACGGCTACCAAGTTAATTATTCAGTCGGTTATTTGTCCTTATTCAGAATAATATTGTGACTAGCGGATATTTACACTATGCTAACAACAACCAATAGGGTACTTTGTCAATTTAAAATTAAATCTTATTCTCCAGGTGTGAAATACAAAGGAATGTTTGCCATAGAAAGCAAAGTCACCAGGGTAGAGTATCCTCTAGAGTCTGGACCATTTTGGCAAGCGACAAACCTTATAAATTTTACCCAAGACTTCGTTTTCCAGTTATGTTGTTGATGTGTGTGGAAACTCTTATTTGTTTTTAATTTTTTTAACTGATGCAACTGCCTAATCATAATTATATTAGCTTAATCTTATAACAATTTAGCTACAACAACAATAATGTCAAAAATTCTATAACCACGCAGGGTTAGCGTTAAACTTTTTACCTTGTTTTTCATAAAAGGTTAAAATAAAACATAAATAAATAAATAAAAATATATTTTTTCACATTATTATTTTATTTTGTTACGATTTTGTTTCATTATTATTAATTTGGTCCTATTATTTTTTTAGTGAGTCAATTAATGTTTTCCCTTTTGATATATTGATAAATTATCTAAAAAAATATTTTTAAGTATCTAATTTTTTTTCATTTTACTCTTTTATTCTTATATATTTGAATTTGCTGATCGCTATTTTATTTTGTGATAAATTTGTGTAATTAAGAATATACAAATATACTAAGTTAAAAAATAAATTATTCCACGAAAGCCTTAGATCAGTTCACATCCATGGTAATATAAAAAGATTAAATTGAATTCAAGTCTTTCTAACTAAATTAATTCTACTCATAATCCACCACAAATGAGAGTGAAAGGGATTGGATTGTCATATTTTTCCCCTCTAATAACGTTAATTTTAATTAAATTTATTTTAGAGTATTTATAAAAAATTTATTGCTACTAAAGTTTGTGGAGTTGTCGCTTGAGAGTCGAGAGAGATGCCCTTATTGAAGAAGGAAGACAAGGAGGGAGGATGGAGAAATGATGTTGGAGAAAAATCCATGTTTGATGTAATCATCTTAAATCCTGCACTTCCTTGGTTCTTTGTTTTGTTCACGAGAGTTGGTGGCTCCTAATCTGTGATCAATCGCTACAAAGTGACGTCATTATCACTTTGCATCTCTCCTCCGCCTTCAAAGCTTGGCTACTGGGAGTGAGGACAATCTGTCACTGCATTCTATGTATAAACTTGTGCTCGTAGAAACACTGCCCATCCCACTCACACCTCCTATCCTTTCTCCAAACCTCTTGAAATCATATTTTCTCTTTCATATTTCTCTCTTTCAAAATTGACACCTCATTGGACAAATCTTTTCAAAATTTAAATCTTATTTTGTTGAATACTTAATTAAGAATAAACATTGATTAATGCCACAATGAAAGATATGTGTCTTCATAATACTTTTACTATACATTCTAAAAAAAAATTAATCGACTAAAAAATGGAAAATCGAATTTACTATTTACGTAGTGAGGAACTTGTATTTAATTAAATCTATAGACTTTTATACAATCTAATTAAATATCCTAACTTTGAAATTTTCTTATATATATATATATATATATATATATATATATATATATATAAATATATTTAAGTAATAGAAAAACTCTAAAAAGAAGGTTAACTGAAATAATTTTAAATAATTCATCTCTTTATAATAGAATTTTTTAGGATTTCTCTAAGTTTAGAGGAACTTAAGTGAAATTTAGATTCGTAATAAAAAGAAGTTAAAAAGATAAAAAATGATTCTGTTTGAAAAAAACTTTAAACGAAAGTAATTTCTTTTTTTTTTTGTTATTTTAAGGGAGAATACAGATAGTAAAATATATCATTGTTATGAGTAGTGTTACTAAAGTTTTGAAATCAGTGAAGAAACTAGGATTCAAGAATTTCTAAATAAGAGAAGTTGATTATTTACTAACTAATATGTCTACAAAGGAAGTATATATGTCCTATTGTATCACAATGATAGTAGAAAAGAATATTTATGTATTTTGGTGTTGTATAATATTCTTATTATATGTTTGTGGTACAAATGAGTTGTATTTTTGGGTATTGGGATGAGAAAAGGCAAAAAACTTAGAAAAAACATCACTTCTCAAATCAATTTTTGCTTAAGCGAGGAAAAAACAGTGAAAGAG